ACTTCGTCTGGTTTGTTTGGGTGTGTCAAAGCGTGATGTGATATTTACCATGCCTCATGTTTGTTGCGAAAGATGTCGGTGTCAACTAACAGCACGAAGCCATTTGATATATATTTCTTCATAGCAGCTGTGTACGTCCGACGCTAGTGCAGTTTTTACGGGGAGCCTCTTCCGCAGGGACATTAAACTTCGATAAGCGAACGTATAGTTATTCAGAGGGTTTGGACACTCGTTACTTCCCGGTAGGTTGAGCTGATGATTGGACCTAAACTTCGTAACGAATGAAGTAATTGTCTTAAAGCTTGCTCGTATTCTACGGACATTCCGAGGCACGAATTCCGAGGTACAGGAAACTCTAGATTATACATCCTTTGAGAAATACGGACCTGAGGCCATCCACCGAAATGGCTAGTAAAATGCTCCATGCATCTTGACTCCCGAATGGACCAAGCAGAACCAAACCCAAAGACGTCCGTATGGCAAAGGCTTCGGAGAGTTTTCCATATCCATGCTCGAGCGTCCAACGGGATTCTGAAGCATCCACGCCTATAAAGAAAACCATGGCTTTATCGGTAGCCAACCAGAAATTGCAGGTCCTCTGAATGTCTTCAAGATTGTAGATATCTTGATCCTGGTGTGATTTGTTGGAAGTAAGGCCATGTTTTAACGGACCACGAATGATTCAGGTGAAGAGGTTTGCCTCCTTGTAAATGCAGTAACTCTAGTTTGGCCACTTATGAGTAAACTCGTTTCACCATTAATAGTGGATATTCTAAATAACGTAGGTTCCGTCTGCAGGTAGAGTTCCTGTACTAGCTGTTCTTTTACAAGTGTTGCATCTGACCCTAGATCTAGCAAAGCATTTGTCAGTATCATCTTATCTATGTTAGAAATTTACACAGGAATCACTCCAAAAGCAACCTGGCCAAAGGAGGCTACCGGTTCATTAAATGTAGCAATCAGAGACAATGTACAAACTGCACTTGCGCCATGCGGTAGGGGGTTATGTGTTGATTGATGTCTCTCTAACCCACCAGTGTAACGAGATTTCCGATTTCCCGAATAATGACTCGGCTTCAAACATAACGTACATACACTTTCCCATCTGTCTTCATCCATAGACAGCCACGGAGAACAAACAAACAAGCAAAGATTTTCTATGCACAACAAACAGATAGAGGCTTGTCGGAGCCGACTGTATCACTCCGTGCGTTGTCAAGACGTTCATTACTCATACGTGCAATGAGTGGTCAGGCGGTGATGTTGTACGGAAGCGAGTCCTCGTCTATTCATGTGAAAGACATGCGTCGGCTTTCGGCTCTTAGTAACAGGTGTTTATGGAGATGGTTGTGTGGTGGGAACACCACGCCTTTGGCAAAGACGAAGTAGGACGTCGCGTCTTAAGTACTACCGAACACACTCAACTGACTAATACCACTTGCTCACATTCTATGCATGGCGTGCGAGGGACTAATATGTCCCACAGAAACGCAAGGTGTCAGTGGTGCTCAGCCAACCACACATAGGTAAAGCATGTAGGCACCGAGCTGGATGCCCTGCGACTACCAGCGAATCTAGTAGCATTACGCACGGAACACGTCACTGTTGTGTAACCCTCTGAGAGTTAAAAGAAACAATGCAACAATAAATCAATAATGGTAAAAAATGGTAATGCTTAACAAGTTAGGGTGGTTAGGGTGACATTTTAGTATATAAATAAAAATTGTTAGCAAAATTGGTTTTACACGAGTGGTTCCACTGAAGTATACGTAGTATGGACCGTAAATCCGAGGTAACTAAGTGAGAAATAGCGTCCAATGGCATGTTGGTAAAAATCGTGTCACCTTCTGGTTAACACACAGAAGAGGTGAAAGACGTGGAACGAAATCTATGATTTAACTGACAATGAACTCGCTTACAGACACTTGTGTTTATTCATTGATAATCATGTAAGATGGTTTAACGAAATCAGTGTACAGTCAACTCGGGATGTGAACTCTGCCAGCGTGAGAGCACATGTGACAGAATACGGTGGGGCATTCCAAGTACGTTAAACGCGTAAGAAAAAAATTCCAACAGCATTTCTAGCGACTGTGCTGCTATGAAATTTTGCGATGTTGGCTCTTCAAACTGCCCTTGTGACCGAGCTCTAGCAAGTAGCGACATATGTGGTTTGGATTTCTCAAAACCTGGTAAGTCAGAATGAGGTCCACGCGCAACTGTGGATACTGCCCGCTGAAGACCCGAGTATTTAAAGCCTGCGTTCATACGGCAAAATATAAAGACACTTGACATTCTTGGTTGAATGTCATTGGGTATCTCTAAAGCGATGAGGTCTCTCCTCAGCTATGGCTGCCAGACCTGTATTGCGTGCTCCCCATGTGGACGTACGTATAAGGGTACTTGTGGAAAAATCTAATAAACTGGTAAACGGAGCCAATGTCCAGATACTAGGTTACGCGTGCGTTTACTGCGGAACACGTGGGTTGTCGGCTGCATGTAAAGTTCATCAGTACCATTGTGGGGTTACCTTCCACCGTTCCGCCAAATATGGGAATCGGGTGAAAATTGATTGGCCAGCAAATACAAACCCACATCAAAGCAGGCGAACCATTCTGCCAAATATGGTAAAACCCGTGGGACGTAATCCACCCACATTGGCTGAGAACCAGAAGCAGAAGTGCGGGTGGACTGGGCTTCCAAAATGCTTATGTTTCCTTCAAGATTCGACCTACCCTGTAAAATATATCCTGTCTACCGAGCCTTGGCCATTGGTTTTCCCTCAGTTGGCAAGGCGCATGTCTGAGCAGATGGACGGTTACAGGCTTACAGGCGATGCAAAGCAACAATACAACGAAATCGAAGGATCGAGTGGTCCGAAGGCACATTGCAGGAGGCCCACTTATTTGATGCCACGCCAAGAATCAGTTTCAGCCTGATCCGAATATCCATGGTCGACCTGGACCAAAACTCCCAGCTTCTTCTCCATAGAAGGCGCCAGAAGATCTCGGTTGCTATTTTGTAGCAGTGCACCAAGTTGTGCCCTAGGTGTAGCAATCTACGTCTGTCCACATTGAATCGAAGTCTATTCCGTTTTGACCACGCGTATGCCCGATCCAGGCCACCATGAAGTACTGTGATGTCATCTGTTGTATTCATCGTCCTCCATACCTTGATGTTATCGGCATAAAACAAGCAGTTCGATTTTATTACTGATCCTTGTGGTACTCCACATTCAAATCGGATGGGATCTGACAGAGATTCACGCACACGTACTTCCATGCGCCGGTGTAAAAGAAAGCTTCTGGTTCATCCTAGGAGAGAATCACCGGTACAAAAGGTATGGAGTTTGAAGAGCTGAATGTTATTGTCTAACCGTTCGAACGTCCTTGAGAAGTCGAGAACGGTTACATCAACTCCTGCGCCAGAGTCTAGTGCTTGGGTCAAGCTGGATCGTGCTATTAGTATATTTTTAGTGCGCGATAGATTTCGTTGCAAGCCACGTTGTTCCGGTGCGAGGTATTTAAATGCTACCAAGTAGACCGTCAGCGCATTCTAAATAATAGCTTCCATGACCTTTGAAAGAACCGGAAGTAAGATACTGAGACGGCAGTTTGTTGTATTGGAACCATTACCTCCTCTGTGAGTAGAAGTAATCCTCCAGTGTTTCTATACATCGGGCACGTGCATTTCGTCAATACAGTTTGACAGAATGGAGCCGAAAGTTCAGCTAAACTCTCTTCCACCGCCACCAGTCGTTTCGTGTGTATACCATCAACTCCAGAAGAACTGTGCTTACGTATACTCACCAGCGTTGTAGTACAGCTGCTGCTGTGACGTACATGTGAGTTTTGTGAGTGGAAGGACAAATATAATAAGTTTAGATGGCCAGTGATCACACTGAAATGTTGCAGTGTATTGTAAGCGCAGGCTATCCGCCGCCTCCTTCGGTGTCCGTCCGCTGTTTAAGGAGGAGGGATTAAACGTTTCACCTTACGTAGACCATTTAGGTGTTGATACAGAATGTCTGCCCAACGATCAGAGTCCGTTAGTGAAGATTGGGAATGGTTGTCTGTTTCCTTTTCGCATGCAACTTTCGTTTTACTTTGCGTTCACTGGTCGCACGCACGGCTTGTGTCCCTCGGATTTTGCTCTGTCTTGTTTCATTCGCCTTCGTTTCGTCACGCTTGGGTACGGCAGCTCCGCTTGGTCTGCATGGGCTGCCTACCTCGTCTGCATGTGGGTTTTCCTGCCAAACCGATCCGCCTCTGAGTTAACTGCCATTCCTATATCTGGCTCGTTGATGTGTTTACCAGATTGGCTAATTCGCTATAAGCTACTAAGTGCTCTTCGCCCAAGCGGCTATCCGGTACCTCACACGCCTGACTGATTTGCATTCGCAGCCCTGATTGGCCCGCATGTCTACGGCCAGCTTCCCAGTTTTGCTCAGGCGATTACTTATGACCACAATCACCTTGATCA